GTTTCATAACTTGTCGTATTGTGTCAGAACATGTTTCGTGTCTTGTTGCATTATATTGCGACATGTCGTTAGCACAGCGTGTTTCTCCAGGTGGAGGCTCCAGGACGAGATGTGTCCATGTTTGTGGATAATAAGCGACATTGACTTCCTGTCATGTGACTCACCGATCTGTCCGGTGGCGATGATGTTTTGGTATTTTGGATGTTGGTTGACAGTGAGACAGAGGATGTCGTCAGTGTGTTCCAGGTAGAAACTCTGAGTTCCTGTCGGGACAGGAAGCAAAAGTGTTACAACATCAACAGCAACATTTATTGTAAGAAGCCCAGTCTGAGAGGTTCACTGACCGGCGGACAGGTTCTGGATCACCACGGCGGCAGCAGTGTGGAAGACGATGTCAGCACCGTCGTTGAGGTAATGCAGGTTGTTGCGACAGTCGAAGCCTCTGTACCCAAAGACGTGCTCCAAGACCAGCTCCTGAAAAACAAACAGCTGTTTAAAGCGACGTCTGGAGTCAGAGGACTGAGCGTGAGCGAGACCTCGTACTGACCTCCACCACTTTCTTCTTCTTGGTCACGTTATTCTTCAGCAGTTTGTCCGGCAGCGGTGCAGCTCGACTCACTGGAGGCCTGAACGGGACAAAGTGGCAAAGTTCAGAAACTATTCAGATTAAACTTAAAATTATTTTTTGTCCAGACTCGAATCCAGAAAGAATGCAAGTGGTGGAGTATCGTGTATTTATCCTTTGACTCTGTACCTCTCCTCCACAGGAAGCTCTTTGTGCTGCAGGTGAGGTTTGGTTCCTGACATGTTCCTGATGTTGGGAGAGTAGATCTTTGTGACGTAGTCCACCACCTTCTCCCGCGCCACATCGCTGTCGTAACCTGAAAACACAGAACGTTCACAACATCTGACAATGAAGAAGCAGCTACAACATTCTACGTGTGTTGCTCTCAAGATCGTTTTACCTCCGTCCTCCTCGGTGTCATCGTCCGACTCCTCGCTGTCCACAGCTTTACTCTCTTTGTGTCCCGGTGGCTCTCTGCTCCAGATCATCAGTGCCGTGTCAGCCCCGCCCACTGACAGCAGCAGGGAGTCGTCATTGGACCATCGGACATTCGTGACGTTGGTGCTGTGACCCACGTACTTCTTGAACTTCGCAAACTGGCCCTGAGGTTGTATAGTTTCAGAAAATGTCAGAGTGAGAAGAAAACGAGATCTGATAATGGACAGAGTCAGAATCTCACCCTGGACGGGAAGCTGAACAGTTTGAGGAACCCGAAGTCGTCTCCGCTGGCGAGCAGTTTGCGATCTCTGGTGAGGGAGGCAGCGTTAACGAAGCTGAGCGTCGGCCATATTCCCTCACAAGTTGGACCCAGAACTGACGTCCAGCTCGCCCAGTCCAGCTTCTCAAACTGGAAACAGAAGCACACGAGTGTTCGCACAAACAGAAACAACCCAATGACCCGTAGAACATGAAGGAAATAAAACCAACCTCAGCCACACTGATGTTCTGTTTGCGTCCTCGAGGAGCCTCGAAGAACAGCTGCTCTTTAGCTCCGGTGTTCACCTGCAGTAGTTTACCTGTGCAGGAAAATATCTTCTGAATCTGAACATGACACTAGTCTGATGTGCGCTCTCCTCCAACACCGTGATGGAAACAGTGATGCTGTTAGCAAGGTAAGGACAACGTTTGTCCTGACGTGTTGTTAGCGTGTGCATTTAGTCTGTAACGTTAAGTATGTTTGGTTTTTAGCTTCTTATCACACTTATGTCAATATGCTAATATTTAGAATGATGCTAACATCCCAGATGTTAGATTGACACTAAAGGGACACTTGTATGCTAATGTTAGCATGTTACCCTTTCAGAATACGTCGGATGTTAAACCCGTCTGAGATGGACCAGTGGAGATGTTGATGACATCACATTGAGAATGTACGAGTGGGATTTCAGCTCCTAGGGGGGAACTTAGCGTGTTAGCTTAGCATCAGTGCAGGTGTGTTCACCTCTAGAGTCCCAGTCGATGTGAGTGATGTAGCTGCCGGATCCTTTACAGATGCCAACTCTCTTACTGGTGAGGACGTTATAAATGTCCACAAAGGAATCATGGGACGCCACTGCCAGGTACTTCCCTGCATCTGAAACACACAAAGCTGTGACTCACCGTCGCACAACCACCTTCACCCGTCACACTTGTGCAGTGACTTCAACTACCTTGGGAGAAACGGATGTCAGAGATGAGCTCTCTGCGGTGGTGGAAAGTCACCATGTCCTCCAGAGTGTCGGCGTTCACCACCAGGAAGCTGCCGTCGTTCAGACCGACTGCCAGAGCTTTCCCGTCAGGAGAGAAAGAGCAGCACCGCCCACCTGACAGGAAACACACAGGAAACACAGAGGTAACACAGAGGAAACACACAGGTAACACACAGGAAACACACAGGAAACACACAGGTAACACACAGG